CGGAGCCATGCCAGGTGCAGGGTCTGCTAGCTGGGTGCTGGCAGGCTTGCACCTGGCACGGGCACCGTAGCCAGCACGTGCCCCTTTAACGGGTCTGGGGCCGGGAGGGGGGAAGACGAGTTTCCCTGGTGTTGGCCAGAGTGGCCACCAGGGAAAGCTGGGGCAGGCTAGCCTCCCACTAGTTCGAATTAAGGGGCTACACAGCCCTTAATTCGAACTAGTAAGTTCGAACTAGGCTTAGTCCTCGTGGAATGACGTTTACCTAGTTCGAACTAAGCGCTCCGCTAGTTCGAATTAAGTTCGAACTAGCGGAGCGCTAGTGTAGCGCCTATCAAAGTTAATTCGAACTAACGTCCGTTAGTTCGAATTAACTTTGTAGTGTAGACATACCCTCTGTGATGAGAGCCCACTGCCGGATGATCTGTTATAAACACATAGCACAAGATTTGCTATACGAAAGCGGGCCGCCAATCAATGTAGAACTGGGACTGAAACCAGAAAAGACAATAAGAATGCAAAATATTTTAGTAAGTGGTAATCCCCCAGTATGTTGATCATGTTTCCTGCACTTCCAGATGATGCTCTCAGCTTAGATTTAAGACAATAATGTCTCCTCATTCCATGCCTGGGGCATGAAAAAAAAATGCTTCGTAGTCTATGTCTGCATTTACAGCAGAGTACAGAGTTGGCACTGTAGGTATGGCTATGTGCCATAGCGAAAGGCATTCTGTCTATGCCTGTCACAGCGGCGTGTAGTAAACGTGTATAATTCATGCATCAATAAAAGGTTCTGGCGGTATTAAAAAAAAAAACAGGAGTGAAGAAAGGGTGCTAGACACTGTGTTAGGGGCCAGCCCAGTTTTCAGTTCCAACATCTGAACATTTCGATTATTATCCAGACTGAACCTCCAAACTCTGAAGTTTTGAAGTTTACCCATCACTAGGAGGTTGCTTTTTAAGGCATATACATTCCCCTTTTTCTGGGAGATTCAGGCACTTGCTACCTCCACAAAAGGGCACCGAAACCTGGGAGTCTCCGAGAGAAAACGGGACACTTAACATGTGGCATATACATGAATACCTACCCAACAACAGTGTTAGGTTCCTTTCTCTGGCTTCCAACTCCTAGAATATCTAAGCAATGATACAACAATCACATTAGATTGTCAGGTACCAGGTAGGATTAGTTCTAGATGAGCCCCTTTCAGCAGGCAAAAAACAGACATTTCATGCAGGCCTTTTATTCATTGGATAGAATCAATTCTCACAACTTCTGTTTTCCCTTCCTTTAGGTTGTTCCTTCAGAAAAGAGAATCGGAGATGTTTCTCCCATTATAATGATATATTGACTTGTAATGTACTATTCCACATTTTATGTTTTATAGCTTTCTAGGCTTGGCGTGATCCCTGGAGAACAAAAGAAACAAAACTTGAACTCAAATCATATGGAAGCCTGTTTCAAATAAAAGCTCAGTTAGAACCTGGGTTTCTATGAGTTCTAAACATTGGCACAAACCAAAAGCCAAGAACCGAATACCAAAATTCCAAAAAAGAGAAAGAAAATTGAAGACAAACAGGTCTCTTAAGCTAAGGATAGAAAAATTTATAAAGCAACAAGCAACTGATTTTGAACTCTGATTAAGAAACACAATATTTGTCACGGTTTCCAAAGTTATGGAGACAGCAGTACATTCTATTTTTCTTTCAGTATTCTATAAAAGTTCTGGTAGATGGATAATTTCCACCTCCATCTGAAATGTGATCTGAGGTATCATATCCCTGGGAAACTGAATCAGGAAACAGCCCTCTCTTGGAATTTGAAACTTAACATGTGCAGCAATGAGTCAGGAATTAGAAATTTTGTTCTCTCTAGATTACAATCCCTTACTACAGCTGGTCAAAACTGTTTCATCAGAGCCAAAACTTTCTGTGGAGGCCTATTGGTTTTGGTGATGTTTTCACTGGAAACAGTTTTGTCCAGCAGGAAAAAGAGAAGAGATACAAATTGAAAAGCAAACAGGGTTTTGAGCTAAAACCCACCATTTCCACACAAAATCCTGATTTTTTCCCCAAAAAGCATTGCACATGATTCGGTTTAGTTCCAATATGGAACAGAAACAAATTGTGAATCCTCAGAAGTTGGCACAAAAGTGGAATTGTCATCTTCCGGCCCGCTCTATCCATTACTTTAGATATAGCTGTTTTATGACTGTTAAACTGGAAATGGACAAAATTTGAACTGAGATGATCCTCAGCTAATGTAAATGGATTGCAACAGAGCTGCCGACTGTCACTCCACAGTGTTTATAATCATGGGTGACATCTAGGTGCCAATATACTGCTGATCTACTTGCAGCAAAGACTGATTGAGTGCAGAAGCAATATCACATGTTTTTGTCCTCTTCTCCTCAGATGGCTTCACAGTGATTTTGAATATAAAAGGGAACATTCACAATGAAATACTCATGGTACCTCAGAGTGGAGAGAACTTTTACTTCCTATTGCAGTTGGCTTTTTTTTTAAGTTTTGTTTGTTTATTTGTGGACCAAACTTTGTTGAACAGGAGTGATACAATTTCATAAAGACTATTACTTACTGTGAACATTGCACTTATATATTAAAGGTGCTCTTTGTACTAAGATGTGTTTCATTTTATTGCAGGATGTGTCTTTCAATTCTGCTATTGTGTTGAAAGGAACCAAATTGAATGTGAGAGATACTGGGAAAGTTTCTGCAGGGTTTGGTTTTTGTTCTTGGTTTACTTTCAACCAAAGGATTGGCTGGAACTGTTTTGGTCTCACTACCCTTAAGATGAAGATCAAGGCTGAGGGACATAATGGGTCTGGGGCCTGGAAAGGACTGACATATTACAGAAGAGAGCCTGATAAAAGTGTAGACAATGGAAGGCAGCTTGTAGTGTTTGGATTTCACAGTGGAGGAAGCTCACATGCCCAGTAGAGAGTTATCAGGAGGCATTATCGTATTGTTTAATTAAAAAAACACCTCATGAAAAATACACTGAGATCATGCTGTCGGGGGTGTCCACATCATTTGGTGCCCCATGAAAGAACCCCTGGCTCCTGCCCAGTAAGCCAAATGCCCAGAAACATTCCTCTAGTGAATTAATTAAAGGGCTCAGAGTCACAATAGCTGTGAGGTAAACTTTTATTTCCCTGACCTATGTCATGTGAGTGGGGCCAGTAAACAAAGAGCAGTCTCAGAGAATTGTTTCCACATTCCATCCCCAGATCTATGGCTGCTCCCCCTGGTTTCCATCTGAAATATCTTTCCTCTCTGGTCAGTGCCAAGTAACAACTTGTTTACACCATTCTTTCATATTACTCAATATTGCATCTTCTTGCAAAATTCCTCTGTGCCCACTCCAAGGAGCCAGGAAACTCGCTTTTTACTACCTCTCTGAACCCACCAAAGATCGTCTTCTCCTTAAAAGGTTTATCATTATTATTGGTTTGAATTTCACTAGCCCAGCTAGGTCCTTTAGATCAGTGGTGTCCAACCCATGGGTTGTGCCCCCCCAAGGGGGTCGCTGATGTCTTCCTGGGGGGTCGCGACACTTGGATCCGGCTGGCCGGGGGCTGAACCCGGCCATTGGCAGCCCCGTGTCACTTAGATCCAGCCAGCCGGTGGCTGGGCCCAGTGGTTGGTGGCCCCCGCAGCGCGGCACCTAGATTTGGCCAGCTGGGGGCTGAGCCCGGCAGTTGGTGGCCCCCACAGTGTGGGGGTCGCAGATCAAAAAAGGTTGCACACCACTGCTTTAGATGCCCAGAGCCCTGGACCTAAATCAGTGGTTCTCAAAGTGTGGTCTGCAGATCACTAGTGGTCCAATGTCATCTTGCAGATGGGCCTTGTGTCCTGCATTCCCACCCCCTTGGTGCGGTTGGAGCGCCAGCACCAGCTTCCCACTGTGGGGGAGGGGAGAAACCTTGCAGGCCGGATCCAGCTTGTGAGGGCAGGAAGCAGCTCCATGCACTGCTGTTCCCCTTCTACCCGGCTGGGGAATGGCAGTGCAGGAAACCACTCACCTGGAGGCTTTCCCCATTGCTCCCATTGGTCAGAGTCATGGCTAAAAGGAGCAGCAGGAGGCAGAGAGCCAGGTAAGCGCTCCCCATCTCTCTCCTGCCAAGACCTTGTACCCCCACCTGAATCCTCCCTTCCTCCCTCCCCCTCCACACCGCTCCTGCACCCTCCTTCCCGGCCAGACGCCTCCAACCCCTAGCCTACTCCTGCACCCATTTTGTCATCACAGGTGGTTGACTGGTGGTCCATGGAAAGGTCTGTGTTGAGCAGGACGGGTCATGGGCCAAAAAGTTTGAAAACCACAGACCTAAATGATTTGAAAGAGAGCCTGAAGAGCTCATTGTAACCATATGGTCACAGAGACCAAGGAATACCTTCATGACATTACATCTCTTTTCCACACAGAGCTCTGACCCAGCAACAGTGACCTTATTAATACAAATCACCATTATGTTGGCAATATACAATGCATGTGCTCCTCTTGGGTTCTATTTGGCAGCACTTGAAGGAAACAAGAAGTGTTATTGAAAAAGTAAAAGCCATTACCATTTTTCAGGAGTGAATTAAGTTGCAGGTAGGGGCTTCTCTTGGAGGAAGAAATTACACCTACATAGCACACGCTAAGTGAATCGCCGTCCTTTCAGCGCCCACTCCATGCCATTTCAGTTGAGAAGCCTCCTGCATGGCTCTGCAACTCTCATGATAAGACTATTTCCAGCTCTTTGGAAAGTCTGTGTAACACTAAGTGGGAACGACAGTAAAAATGTACACGATGTATCTAAACTTTAAAAATTAACATTGGTATTTATTTAAAAATTTAAGTTGGCAGCTCTCCAATTGTTCATGGCTTACATTAACTTAGGCAAAGACCCATTACATTGCCTTCAGACAAGAATGTTTTTTGAAAAGGCAGCTTTGCAGAATTTAAAGAGCACAAGCTCTTTGTTTCAGACAGGTTGGCGAGTGCACAGTTCAGTTAAATATATTAGATGAGAGACAGGTCTGATGCAAAATCCTCAAAGTCTGGATGAAGGATATTCTCCTGCCTAAGGGGTTGACCAGGAGTGTAGAGACCTAGATTCAGTTCCTAGCTCTTCTTTGTACAGCTCAGAGCTAGTCATTTAATTCCTTGATGCCTCAGTTCTCCATCTGTAAAATGCACCTCTTTTCATCTATATCTACTCCAAACAGAATGGTTGTGAGATCTTTAGGGCAGGAATTGTCCCATGCCGTGTAGAGCTCTGACCTGAGAGTCCTGTAAGTACTATAGTTAATACAGGTTGAACGTGTCTAGTCCGGCACCCTCTGAACCTGACTGGTGCTGAACCAGAGAATTTGCCAAATCATGTGAAATCAATATTGTCTAGCAGCCTTACCAACACTTCCACTGCTTACTGGGCTCTTAGAATACAATTGGAGTAAATTAGAGCTAAATAACAGCACAGAACCAACTGAAACCCAGGACTGGTAGCTGTAAACAAACTTTATGAGACCACAGGAAACTTGCCAACATCCATGATAAGTTGACCTCCGGCTACCTAAAATCATGCCTGACCATGGATGTTGCCGGACCAGAGGGTGCCAGACTAGAGAGGTTCAACCTGTACTTGTAATTATTCAGGAAAATTCACACTCAAACATGCACACTCATTACTATTTCTATAGCGCACTAGTCCTGAATGTTAGAAAAATAGATTTTAATCTGAACCTTCCTATTTGACTCTAACTCCTACTCATCTCCAAAAAGAGCCAAATTCTTCTCATGTATCTACTCCAAACAGAAAGCTGAGTAGCCAGAAAACTCACAAGAAACTCAATGGCTGTTCTGAGCTGATATTTTAGGTGAAGCCCTACAATGCACTTTTCAGTAAATGTACATGTGCCTGTTACTTAAGCAGAAGTTTGAAAGTTCTAGTTATTGCTCTCTTGTGGCTACTAATCAATCAATGAAATTCTGCAACACTTACATACATAAAGTCAGGAGTTACCACAACTCTGTCCCAGGTCCATCCTTCATCTGGATTAAAAAATAGGAATGCTGCACAGTGTTGGGATGAAGGTAAATTTTGTTCTGTTCTGGATTAATTTCCTAATCTTTCTGAAAGAATCCATATCCAAGTGCCTCTATGGTAGAACCATCTCCCAAGAAATCATGTTCTTATTAGGGATGTGGCTCCATCACTAATTAGATTAAGAAAGTTTGAGGCAGGAAGAGACCATTAGATCATCTAGACAGAGGGTGGATAAACTTTTGGTCCAAGGGCTGGGTAGGAAAATTCTGGGGGGCCATGAATGTAGTGTTGGGGTGCAGGGTGGGGCTCAGAGCAAAGGGTGGGGATGTCAGCTCCAGCCCGGTATTGCTTTCCTCA